CACCAGGAGAAGGTTGGACTGGACATTAGGAAATATTTCTTGCCCCAAAGGGTTATCAAGCCACAGCCCAGGCTGGAGTTTCCATCCCTGGAGGGGTTTCCAAGCCGTGGAGATGTGGTGTGAGGGACACGGGTCAGTGGGGACCTGGCAGGGATGGGATAACTGTTGGACTCGAACTGAAAGGTCTCTTCCACCCTAAACAATTCTGTGTCCTTGCAGCAAGCTGCAAACATCGTGCGGGCGCTGGAGCTGTTCGTGAGGCCCGAGCTGCTGGGTGGGGAGAATGCCTACATGTGTGCCAGGTGGGCATGGGGCTGCGGGCGGGGCGGGGCCCTGGGCATGCTGGTGGGAACCCGGGGGAAAGCCTGCTGCAGGACCAGAGGGTTTCTCCACCTGCTCCGTGGCTAGACCAAGAGGTCCCTGTCCACGGAGGCCTGCAGTGGAGGCTGCCACTCCTCAGCTCCCCCCTCGCAGGGGAACCTGTGCCAGCAGCCACGGCTGTGGGCAGGTGCCCTGGCGCGGTGCCTGCTGTCAGCAGGGCTGTTCCCGTGGGGTTTGCCGCTTGGCCGGGGCTGGCAATCATCTGGGTGGTGGAACAGCTTGAATAGCTGGAGCTCTTCCTGTGCAGATGCAAGAAGAAGGTGCCAGCCAGCAAACGCTTCACCATCCACCGTGCCTCCAACGTCCTCACGCTGTCGCTGAAGCGCTTCGCTGACTTCGGGAGACGCAAGATCACCAAGGTGAGCGCTCAGCAATCCAGAGCTGGGGCCACCTGCCAGCCCAGGCCCTGCTGCCCAGAGCAGGGTGGGAGGTGCTCCTGTGCCCCGGGTGGGAGGTGCTCCTCCTGTGCCCAGCGTGGGCTCCGCCACAGTCCTGCAGCCCTTCCCCAGCTGCACGGTGCGATGGGAGTTTGGCTCCTCCTGGCATCTTCTTCACTGTGATCTCTGCCTGGGCATAGCAGGTCCCCCTCCTTTGGGAGGTGGGACTCACAGGACAGCTGAGCTGCTCTTGCTCTAGCACAAAAGTTGTCTGCTGCACAGGCTCCTGAGATATCCTCTCTCCACAGGACGTGGGGTACCCCGAGTTCTTGAATGTCCGCCCCTACATGTCTGAGAAAACGGGGGACCCGATCATGTACGGGCTCTACGCAGTGCTGGTGCACTCTGGGTTCAGCTGCCATGCAGGACACTACTACTGCTATGTGAAGGTGAGCCCAGGGCCTCTCTTGGCACCTCTGGGCTGGAGGCTGGTGGGTTCTCTTGTATCCCTGTAGTGCCAGAAAGGAGGGGGCTCAGCAGACAGGCGTGTGGAGCACTGGATGGGGGGTGTGGGCTGTGCTCAGCTGCAGTAAGCATGGAGGTCTGCTCTCACAGGGCCCCCTTGCCTGCCCTCAGCTGCCTGTGGGTTTTGGGGAGAGCAGTTCTGCTGATGGGCACTGTTCTGTCTGCTTTTCATGCTGGGAGGGTCTTGGAGCAGAGCCCAAACCAAATCTCTCTTCTCCTGCAGGCCAGCAATGGGCAGTGGTATCAAATGAATGATGCCCTGGTCCGCTTCAGCAACATCAAAGTGGTCCTCAACCAGCAGGCCTATGTGCTGTTCTACCTGAGGTGAGAGCACCCTGTGCCTCCCGGCCCCTCTGCCCCTGCTCCCAGCATTTGGGGTACACCTTGGTGTGGAAGGAGCGTGGCCCAAGTAGCCCCAGCGCCCGTGTGCATGCACCAGCTCAGAGGAGGGTGGCAGGGAGAGGCCAGCCCCTTGTCATGGTTTTGCTGTACATCAAGAGCACCTCATTGCCTCGGAGCTTCTGGCTCCTGTTTCTTGTGTGCATCTCTGGCAAGAGCATTCCAGTTGCTCAGACCCTCATGGTTGACATGTGACCTTCTCTACCTTCACCAGAATCCCCAGCCCCAGGAAGGGCTCAGAGGGGCCCGTTGCCAAAGCTGCCTCCAGCCTGTCTGGCTGCACTGGCAGTGTCTCGGATCAGGCCAAGAAAACGGTGACCAACGGGCCCCTGTCTTCACCACCGATGGGCCGGGTGAGTCCTGAAGGCTGCTCTCAGCCAGACACCCCGGGGCTGGGAGCTGCTGTCCCTCTGCTCTGCCTGCCATGCCCTTGAGGGCACGTGGGCTGCACGTGGGAGGGCGTTTGCAGGGAGGGATCCTGCTGAGCCAAGGGTTCCTTTGTGGGGCTGGGGACGGGTGGGGAGGGCAGCATCGCTCTGTGTCCTTGGCTCCTTGAATTCTCTCCTCCCTCAACTTTTCTTTCTCTTTGTTCTCCAGAGCTCAGACACACTGCCAGAGAAGAAGCTGCTGGGGCCGGAGGAGCTCGGGGTCCCTGTGGCCCGCAGCACGTTCACGGTGGGGCCGAAGCTGCTGAACGGAACCACGCCGTCAAAGCCGCCTGCTGGGTCCCCGTCCCCCAAACTGCCCCTCAGAGCCACCCACACGGCCACGGCGCTGCCCCACGACACAGCCCAGAGGCCCAAGAAGCAACTCTCCTTCCTCCCAAAAAAGCCACTCTCCTTCCTGCAGCTGCCTCCCACACCCAGAGCAGTTCAGGGCTTCAGCCACACGAGCAATGCAAGCGGGGCCAAAGTGGAGCTGCCCCGGCAGAGCTCCTGGGAGAGCAAGCGGCCGCCTACCTCATGCAGGGTGCTGCTGGGCAGTGGGGAGAACACGGGGACCCTGGAGAGGGACTCCTGCAGCAGCAGCGCTGCCAGCCCAGCGCACAGCGTGGTGGGGACGTTGGCCAAGGCGTCCCAGAAGGCCAAGAATGGAACTGGCAGCTTCTGCACCTCTCAGGACACAGACTGCGGCACGGACCTCGCTGCTGGCAGTGAGCCAGCTGCCCCCGGAGACTCCAAACCGGCAAAACTGAAACCCTCCCCGTTGGGCAGCACCGCCCTGGAGCTGAGCAGCACCACATCACCACCACCGGCCAAGAAGCTGGTCCTCTCTGCCAAAAAGGTGAGTCGGAGCTTCTGCCTAGTGTCTTCAGTAGGCACCTCGTGCCTTCTGAGCTGGGGCGTGTGCGGGGGGCAAGTGTAGAGCTACTGCTGGGTGTCTTCGCTGAGCTGGAGCGGGGTGGGAGAGCCCCTCAGCCCTGGGGCCACAGCAGTTGCTCTGCCCTCCTCTGGGTCGGGCTGTGGGTCCTGCTGGCGTTCTCACCTCTGGGTGATGCAGCAGAAGCGCTTCCTGCCTCCTCGTGCAGGATGGGGGTGGCCTCACCCGCCTTCTCG